CTTTCATCTGTCTAGTAACTTTGGATTATATCCTGGACATTGTCATTAATATACTGAGGAAACTGGATTCCATTATGTTCCTCCAAAGGGTACTGATTTTCTTTTTTTAAAAAGCAGTTTTATTACTCACTTAATTTAGCTGGATTCAGACTGAAAAGTGTTTCTTTCCTGTGGGTGACAGCTCAAATTTCAATTCAGGTCTATTGGCTTGGTAGCTTTGTCTCCTCTGCCTTATATAGTTAAAGACTCAGCCAGACTTTTGGGAAATGCTTATACACAGAATTTGGGGCTTTCCCTCTCTGGCTTGCTTCTTTCCAAGGCTATCCTACACACCTCATCTTCCAGCAGCAGCTGTATAGGCCTTGAACTCTTTTGCGGTTTTCCAGATGGTACTGCCCAAGATACAATCCAAAATTTTAGCTGCCCTAAACAGAGTTGACTGGGATGTGCTCTCAGGATAAAAGCCATATAAAAAGCAGAAAACTGACCCTGTCATTTCCTTCTTCTAAGCGTTGACCTATCTCCAGGATCTGCCCACTTTTGATCATTCACCAATGCTTTTGGATAGTGTGTTTTTATTTTTAAAATGTATTTATTTGGCTTCACTGGGTCTTTAGTTGTGGCTCGCAGGATCTTCGTTGCGGTATATAGGATCTTTTTAGGTGCTGTATACGGAACCTTTACTTGCAGTATGCAGGATCTTTACTTGTGGTATGCAGGCTCTTAGTTGCAGCATGCAGGATCTAGTTCAAACCTGGGCCCCGTGCATTGGAAGTGCGGAGTCTTAACCACTGGATCACCAGGGAAGTCGCCGGTTTTGGATAGTTTTTAAATTAAAAAAAATTTTTTTTAAATATTTGGTGTAGAATTAATACTTTATGTGTTGCAGTTTTGGTACAGTAGGAACTTACTTGGTCAACACATTTAAAATACAGAAATGAACAGACTGGTAGGTGACTATGGAAAAGGAATGGTGGGTAGTTTGATGACATGAAAATTAATGCTGGGGGGTGGGGGCTGGAATTTAGGGAGATGAGGGAGATAATAGTTCGGAAGCGGAAGTTAACAAGACACGCATCCCATGTCCACGCCTAGTGGTACAAGGAGTGTGAGAGAGAACACAGGAGACCATTTGAAAGACAGTCCTTGAGGGGGGAAGCAACTTTCTTCATTGAAATTTCAGAGTATTTATTAAGAATGCCTCACTTACAGGCAGGAATATATAATATACTGTATGAATAACATATAAGTACATACTATTAATATATACTAACATAAGTAAATATAATATTTATATTAGTAAATTGTCCAAGTCTCAAAGCAAGCACATCAACTACAGAGCTCTGCTGTACATTTTCTGACCCTAAATGTCTATACTCACTAGCTCTTTCTCTTTTCATTTTATATATTTAAAATTCCTGGCATATTTCAAATATAAAGAAATATATAAGAATAAAACAAATATCCTTTTATAAGCCATCCAGCTTTTGTAAATCCACCCAGTTTCCACCATGCATTACAATCTCTCCATTCCTGTGGTCTATCTACTCAAAGGAATATAATGCAGTCATTAAAGATTAATTTCATGAAGGATGTGGAACAGTGAAAAGCACTTACTGTGTATTTCCAAGGAGGTAAATAGAATATTTTAAATATCTAAGGAATCAACGCAAATGAAATATATAGGGAATTCTAGTTTCACCTTAATTTAATCCACTTCCCAATTTTTGTAAATCAAAAGATGGGAGGGATGGGAACCTGAAAGAGACTATAAACATAAAAGAGAATCTAACTTTATTTCAAATGAATCATATAATTGGGTTGAATGGGGATAAAAAGAACTAGGTGACATAACTTTTAAACAGAGTACTTCATCTCTACATATGATCTAAAAAGACCTGTAAAAAAAAAAATTCCTGAACACAACCAGGTGTGTGTTTTGCAGTGACATTATTTAGCAACTCTAAAGCTACTTGCTGCATATTGGAGGACTGAACAAATGAGTAAGCAGATTGATGACTGGGAGCCTACTTCCAACTATTGAAGACCTAAATATGGAATAGGGAAAGACCAGAAAGCAATAGTTACTTGAAGTGGACGCTATCAGTATTTTACACACACACATATACATGAAGGATTGCTATCCCAGTAACAAGGAGAACATACAGCCCCTAGGTCTTGGTTTCCCCAAAGGATTCAGGGCTCTGTAGAATCTGTGGTCGCAGCAGGCAATATACAAGATAAACCCAACCTTATTGTACCAGAAAACAAGAGTTCATACTGATGATAGAGAAAGAGACGTGAGGGAGAAGGCAAAGCTCTTCTAACAGTAGAAAGCCAATTGCTAAATATAGAAGGGACGATGGAGCAAGAAAGTCATCCTTTTGCAATCATAACAGTAATAACTGATTCACAGAAGAATATCCATGAATGCTAAGACTAGTAGGTGAAGGTTATGATGAAGCAGTTATTACACAGTCTCCAAGATTTCCCCACAAATTAGTTATTAATTTCAAAGGCAAACAGCAATTTTACTGTGGAGAAATCTAGTAATTATCAGTGTATCCAAGTGATCAAAGCCACCATCACCAATGAAACAAATACATCTTTCCTGTTCTAATGCACTGAGAAGTATGCATCATTCAGGGAACACTCATGCCACAGTTAACTTGAATCTAATCATGATGAGTCAAACCCCCCATTTAGGGACACCCTACACATTAGCTTGTGTTCTTCAAAATTACCAGTTTCATGGAAGACAAAGAAAGGCTGTGGAACTGATCCAGAATTAAAGACTAAAGAAACATGACAATCAAATGCAGGTTATGACACACCTTAAGAGTAGATCCTGATATAGGAAAAAAAAATGCTACCAATATATATATTGGGACAACTGTGGAATCTGAATAAACTGTAGATTAGAAAATATCATAGCAATGTATGGCAGTCTTAAAATATGTTTGCAAATTCTTTGACACTCCTCTCATGAAGTAGGGTTCAGGTCCCCTCCCCTTGCTCCTGGATAGGCTTTTATGACTGTCTCAATAGACTGACTGGCAGACTGACTGTTACTTCCAAGGTTAGATTAGCAAAGGCCATGGTACTTCCGCTGGTTTTTCTTGGCAGACTTTTGAGCCACCACATAGTGTCCAGTTAGTATGAAGTTGTCATGCTGGAGGCCACACAGATTTGTAAAGACAAGCCAAGGCTGTCTGGGTTCTCAGTTCAGGTACTAGATAAACAGGTCTGCTTGTAATCACATTAGATACCCAAAGGATATAAAGGAATTCTATTATTCTTACATCTTTTCTGAGTGTTTAGAATGAGCTAAAACACTCTAATAGAAGCATTTCAAAAAATTAAAAATTTACTGTAATGGGGAATTCCCTGGTGGTCCAGTGGTTAGGACTCCACACTTCTACTGCCAGTGGCCCAGGTTCCATCCCTGGTCAGGGAACTAAGATCCTGCAAGCCACGAGGTGCAGCCAAAAAAAAAAAAAAATTACTATAATGCCCTTAGGTATCTTATATATATATATATTTATATATATTTATATATATATATAAAATGACATACATGTATGATATCGTATGTATGGCTATGATCTGGTTACTTTTAAAGGGAGGGCATCACAGTAAATTTAGATATCATTTCATAAAAAATTCTATGTCTCTGCCCACTTTCCTCAGCATATTCTGGATATCTACTAATGTCGGTAACTATGAACTTATCTTTTCTCATTTGATTCTGCATACTATTCCACAGAATGGCTAAGCCACAAATTATTTTTGTCAGATCCAACTGATGAATGCAACGTGTGCTATTACCAATAATGCAATGGTGAACATGCTTTACGTACATCCGTAACACAAGTTTACAGGCCATGAGATAAAGCAGTTAAGATTTAGCTGTAAGGGATTTTCATTTATTTTATTGTCCCAGTTTTAGTGCTTTGGTAAAATGGATAATGGCCACTGTAAATAATTTTTCAAAAAGGTAAAGAAAAATCATCTGAACCCTCTATGCTAGAGTAAACCAGGTGGTATATTAATATCTTTCCACCTGGGACTTCCCTCCTGGCACAGTGATTGAGAATCCGCCTGCCAATGCATGGGACATGGGTTCGATCCCTGGTCCGGGAAGATCCCACATGCCGCAGAGCAACTAAGCCTGTGTGCCACAGCTACTGAGCCTGTGCTCTAGAGCCTGAGAGCCACAACTACTGAACCCGCATGCTGCAACTACTGAGCCTGCGTGCCTAGAGCCCATGCTCCGCAACAACAAAAGCCACTGCAATGAGAAGCCCGTGCACCGCGACAAAGAGTAGCCCATGCTCACCATAACTAGAGAAAGCCCACACACAGCAACGAAGACCCAACACAGACAAAAAAAATATATATATCTTTCCACCTATTAGTGCTATGCACATAATCACATCTTCAGGTACACATCCCCTTATTACTTGAATTATACCAGGAAGTCTCTAACCTAGTTTTTTCGTGGATGACAAATTTTTTCCTGTCATTATACATCTATATCATATTTTTTCATGGCTATATATTAGAATATATTTATGTAAATATTTTGCTGATGCTTCTTTTTTAAAAAATTCAGTATAAACATCTTTGTGTACAATCTTCCTTACTGTTGCTATAATCTCCTAAGCAAAACCTCGAATGCTAGGATTTGCCAGGGCAGACTATTTTGATACATATTGACCAGCAAATGTTCACTCCTACTAATAGGTGTTGAACACAGAATGCTGTGTATATGACAATTAATCTAAACTGATAACTTTAATGAAATCTCAATCAAAATCCAAGAGGTTTTTTGTCTACCCCACCCCATTTTTAGCGGGGGAACAGTGGGGGTGGAATGTGACAAAATTAATATCCTTGGTTTCTGCCAAAGCTCCTGCTTAAAGACGTCTGGATGAAGGACCATGAATAGAAAAGGCAATGTGACCTGAGCCTGAATGGAAATAATGCAAAGAAACCGATTATTAACAATTCAAGTTTACTATGAAACTTTTTGTTACTAGTAACTACTTTTAACACTTTCAGAGTTACAGTAAAACCCTAAGGAATTAATTAGTGTTCAAAATTTCCAATCATATAAGTTGCAGTATGGTATTAGATTAAAAAAGTCTTTCAGTCTATAAAATACAAACTAATGATGCTAAATATTACACTGCACACAATGGGTGATTCTGTACATATAACTGAAGCTGGATGGAGGGTGGCAGCCACTCATAAGCCTTGTCCAAATCTGTACTATTGTGGATGGCTATTTTTTGATTCTGATTTCAGGAAATATTAATTGAAGTACAATCTTATTAAGGCGACTTGCAGGATTCTTCTTGAGTATGTTATGAATTTAGGATAGGAAGCCAACCAGAATTTTCAAATATTTGTCCTAATTAGAGGGATTTTCCTCTCCTTGGTTCAGTAATTGCCAGGCACCTATTAGGAACCAAGCACAGTTCTACACAGTAGAGACAGAATGGTGAAAAACAGCCCTCCTATGTGGAGGGTACACTGCAGTTGGCATCTATTGTTTGTCCATCATTATACTTTTGTTCAAGTCCTGCCCATAACCTTCATGTATGGTAGATGCCAATGATTCTTCTCTTGTGTCACATCTTGAGAATCGGGGCATTCAGAGCTCTGGTGTAACCACTGACCATATTTACAGAATATGTTTTCCTTCCTCTGTGAAACCTGATGTTAGTATAAAGAGTTCACCTCCCAACTGGATCTTTAAAAACACAGCATTTTATGGAACTTCTTTCCCATGAAGATTCCTTGATGTTTCCAAGTTCTGCAGGAACTTCCCACAACTACGAGCACAGACTTTCCAAGAGAGATGAAGACGTGGATATCTGGAGGCCATTCCTCACCTTCCAATTCTACAGGTTCCCTCCAGTGTGGACCCTCTGATGGTAAACAAGATGTGACCTCTGGCTGAAGCCCTTGCAACATATATCACATATGTAAGGCCTCTCTCCGGTGTGGACCCTCTGATGGGTGTGGAAATGTGAGGCCTGGCTGAAGCCCTTACCGCACTGCTGACACGTATAGGGCTTCTCTCCTGTGTGGACCCTCTGATGAGCACTGAGCCCGGCACTCCAGCTGAACTCTTTCCCACACTCCTCGCATTTGAATGGTTTCTCTCCAGTGTGAATTATCTGATGGACTTGGAGATTCGACCTCTGGCTGAAGGCCTTACCACATGTATCACATTTATATGGCTTCTCTCCCGTGTGGACTCTCTGATGGGCTTGAAGATGGGAGGCCTGACTGAATCGCTTTTGACATGCATCACATTTGAAGGGCTTTTCCCCCGTGTGGACGCTCTGATGAGCTTGAAGGTTCGAGGCCTGACTGAAGCCCTTCCCGCACTCCTCGCACTTATAGGGTTTCTCTCCCGTGTGGACCCTCTGATGGTTGTGAAGATTCAGGCTCCAATTGAAGCGCTTCCCACACACCTCACACTTGTAGGGCTTTTCTCCAGTGTGGACTCTCTGATGGGCTTGGAAATAGGAACTCTGGCTGAAGCCCTTCCCACACACACTGCATCGAAACGGCTTCTCTCCTGTGTGAACCCTCTGGTGGCTCTGGAAGCTTGAGGCCGAACTAAAACCCTTCCCACACTCCTCACATTTGTAGGGTTTCTCTCCCGTGTGGACGCGCTGGTGACTGTGAAGGTTGAAGCTCAGGCTGAAGCACTTGCCGCACTCCTCACATCTGTAGGGTTTCTCCTCAGTGTGGACGCGCTGGTGCGTGTGAAGATTTGAGCTACAGCTGAAGCGTTTCCCACAGTCTGCACACTTGTATGGTTTCTCTCCAGTGTGGATTCTTTCGTGGGCCTGAAGGTGGGACCTCTGGGTGAAGCCCTTCCCGCACACCTCACACTTATACGGTTTCTCTCCCGTGTGGACTCTGCAGTGGATGTTGAGGTCTGTGCTACGACTGAAGCCCTTCCCGCAGCTCTCGCATCTGTAGGGCTTCTCTCCGGTGTGAATGGGCAGGTGGGCGTACAGGTGTGAGGTCTGATTAAAGCTCTTCCCGCACTCGTGGCATGAATAGGGCTTCTCCCCTGTGTGGACTCTCTGGTGAGTCTGCAGGTTTGAGCTCTGACTGAAGCCCTTCCCGCACTCGTGACACCAATAGCGTTTCTTCCCTGGGAGGACACTCTGTTGAATGGGACTAGCTGAGCTGTAACCACTGCCCTTCTCGTGTATCCTGTATGTAGGGGACTTCCTGCCCAAGTGTGCCTGCTGATGAAGTTCAAGGCTGGTGTGGTCACGGAATCCTTTCTCACGTTCGTTACACTGGTAGGTTTTCGGTCCAGTTTGAATGATACTGCACGGGGCCAGAGGTGATGCCTTTAAGAGATCTCTACCACACTCTCTGTTGCCGTGAGCTTTCTCTCTTTTGTACACCGTGTCATCATCGAGGTGGGGGGAGATACAGCTGAAAATATCAGCGCATGGAACAAATATACAGAACTTGTTTTTCACTGGAGTCAGCTTACAACTTCTCTGATAATTCTGAGTCCCATTCAGATAGAGTTTATTCCAGGAATTCTGAGCTCTCCCAGTTGGAAATTCTTGATTTTCAATAACATTAGAATGATCCTCTAGAAGAGTCATTAAACAGCTGTCTTCCACAGAAGCCTGAACGGGGGACTGAGAATTCTTTCCGTGAATACTTATCACGGAGTCCTGACTTCTGGTTAATTTGCTCACAACGTGTCTCTTGATGTACCAGCACGAAAGCTCTCCCAATGAAAGGAATCTGACTCCTGTTTCATGAAGAGTCTCCGTCTCACTGTGATTCCTGGCTCCTGAAAGGAAAACAGTAAGGAATTAAGGACGGAGAGAGTGACGGCAGCAAGATGGTGGGCTGGGAAGCTCCAAGCCTCTGCTCCTGCCACGAAAACATTATAAACAAGTAGAGAGTAGTGAAAATGACTTCATAGGAATTCTGAAAAACAAAGGTCTACAGCAACCAAGAGAACGTCCAATCAAGAAAAAGCCAAATTTGAAAAGGTAGGATATTTGGGATCAGTCCAGAGTGAGGTTGCCCATATCCCTGGCAGATCTCTTAAGGATACAGACACGGGAAAGACCAAAGGCCTGGACTGAAAAGCAGCAGCTAAAAGCCAGCCAGAGGCATGGAAGTGTAATACCAAAACATATTTGATCTACCCGAAAGAACACAGAAAAGGACAAAGAGATGAACAAAATAGATGAGACCTCCCCCAACAAAGCAATTGCAAATATACCCGGTTTCAGTAAGTATATTATGTGGAAGTGCACTCCCCTAAAATCAAAAGGCAGAGATTGGCAGAGAATATAAAAAGCAAGGTTCAACTACATGCTGTCAACAAGGGATATGTTTTAAATACAAGTAAGCAAAAGAAAAAGGGTAGGAAAAGACGTATCATACAAATATCATGCAAAGCCCAAGAAAGCTGGAACGGCTAAACAGACAAAAAGACTTTACAAAATAGAGCACTCTTAGATACAAAGACATTTTATGACAAGGATTAGCAGATGTTAACGATTACAAATGTGTATGTGTCTAATAAAGGCTCCAAAATAAACGAAACAAAAAGAGGGAACTAAAATGAGAAATGGACAAATCTACAGACTTGAAGATTTTTTACACACTTATTAGACCATTAAAAAAAAAATCAGCAAAGCCATACAAGATCTGAACCACTATAACCAAAACGAAACTTACAGGTCACTGCACCTAACTGCAGTACATACATTTTTTTTTTCAAGTACATATAAAACATCCATCAAGATAAACCATACCCAGGGCTATAAAACCAATTTTGAAAGATTTTTAAAGACCATAGCAGAATTAAAATCAAAACCAACACGCAGAAAAGGCCTATAAGAAATCACATGGGAAATTAGAAAATATTTTGAAATAATAATGAAAGAAAATAGTATCAATTTCTGGCATGCAGTTAAACAGCACTCAGATTATTTATAGCTTTAAATATTCATATAGAAAGCAAGAAAGGCCTAAAGTCAATAACCTAAGGTTCCAATTTAAGAAGCCATAAAAAGAAGAGGAAATGAAAGGAAATAGTGAAAAGCAATTAAACAAGGGGGAAAAAAATCAAGGAAAACAAACTGAATCAAGGAAAAAAATAGAAAAGACAAAACACACCATTGTAAAGCAATAAAGATGTTAAAAAAAAAAAAAAGACAAAAACTACCAACATCAGGCATAAAAGATGGGATATTACTAAAGATCATAAAAGGCATTAGAATAAGGGGATATATTCAACAACTTAGATAAAATACACCAATTCCCTGAAACATACAAATCTGTTACAAGAAAAGCAAAATATGTAAGTAGTTCATGAACTGAAATCATAAATAACATTCTCACAAAAGGACCAGACAACTTCACTGGTGAATTCCACTTAGCACGTAGGAAAGGAATAATACCAGTCTTACACAAACCCTTGCAGAAGGCTGAAAAGGAGAGTATACTTTCTGAGGTATTGTGTATAATAAGGCCTGTATTACCTTGATATCAAGATAGACGAAGACATTAAGTACAAAGAAAATTACAGATCAAAATCCCTACATAATGTAAGTGCAAAAATCCTAAACAAAGAGAAAATCTTGTTTTTTATAATACACAATAAAAGGGTACTATTAATAAGTGGGTTGAATCCTAGGAATGCGAGGTGGTTTTAACATGTGAAATCATCAGTGCTTCATGCTCCTTTAAAGCATAAAGCAGGAGGACAAGATGGCAGAGTAGAAGGACTTGAGCTCACCTCCTCTCATGAAAACACCAAAATCAATTACTTCTCAACAACCATTAACAAAAAAGCCTGGAACCTATCAAAAAAGATATTCTACATCCAGAGGCAAAGAAGAAGCCATAACAAGATGGTAGGAGGGGCACTTTTGTGATATAACCAAATCCATACCTGCCGACTGGGTGACCCACAAACTGGAAACTAATCATATCACAGAGGTTCTCCCACAGGAGAGTTCTGATCCCCATGGCAGGCTCCTCAGCCTGGGGGTCTGGCATCAAGAGGAAGAGCCCCCAGAGCATTGGGCTTTGAAGGCCAGTGGGGCTTGATTTCAGGAGCTCCACAGGACTGGGGGAAACAGAGACTCCACTCCTGGAGGGCGCACACAAGGTAGCATGTGCACTGGGACCCAGGGCAAAGCAGTGACTCCACAGGAGCCTGGGCGAGACCTACCTGTGGGTCTTGGAGGGTCTCTTGGGGAGGCAGGGGTCAGCTGTGAGCCACTGCAGGGGCAAGGACACTGGTGGGGGAGCCCCCAGGGAATATTCCTCAGCGTGAGCTCTCCTGGAGGTCACCATTTTGGCACCAAGACCTGTCCCCACCCAACAGCCTTCAGGCTCCAGTGCTGGGATGCCTCAGGCTAAACAGCCAACAGGGTGGGAACACAGCCCCACCCATCAACAGACGGGCTGCCTAAAGTCATCCTGAGCCCACTTGAGCCCATCCCGAGTCACTTTTTGACATGTCCCTGTCCACCAGAAAGGCCTGCACAAGCCCCTGCACCAACCCCACCCACCAGGGGGCAGAAACCAGATGCAAGAAGAAGTACAATCTGCAGCCTGTGGAATGGAGACCATAAGCACAAAGTGAGACAAAATGTGATGGAAGAGAAATATGTTGCAGATGAAGGAAGATAAAACTCTAGAAGACCAACTAAGTGAAGTGGAGATAGGCAATCTGCCTGAAAAAGAATTCAGAATAATGATAGTAAAGATGATCCAAGATCGTGGAAAAAGAATGGAGGCACAGACCAAGAAGATACAAGAAATTTTAAAGAACAGATGAACAATAACTGAAATGAAAAATATACTATCAGGAATCAACAGCAGAATAATAGAGGCAGAAGAACCAATAAGTAGCTGGAAGACAGAATGGTGGAAATCACTGCTGCAGAACGGAATTGAAAAAAAGAATGAAAAAAAATGACAGTCTGAGACCTCCGGGACAACATTAAATGCCATCAACATTTGCATTATAGGAGTCCCAGAAGCAGAAGAGAGAGACAAAGGGCCTGAGAAAATATTTGAAGAGATAAGGGACCTCCCTGGTGGTGCAGTGGTTAAGAATCTGCCTGCCAATGTAGGGGACCAGAGTCCTGGTGCAGGAAGAGCCCACATGCCGTGGAGCAACTAAGCCCATGCGCCACAACTACTGAGCCTGCATGCCACAACTACTGAAGCCCATGTGCCTAGAGCCCATGCTCTGCAACAAGCCACCGCAATGAGAAGCCTGTACACCGCGATGAAGAGTAGCCGCTGCTCGCCACAACTAGAGAAAGCCCAGGCTCAGCAACAAAGACCCAATGCAGCCAAAAATAAATAAACAAATTTTAGAAAAAAGAGAGAAGAGCCAAAAACTTCCCTAAAATGGGAAAGGAAACACTCAAGTCCAGGAAGTGCAGAGAGTCCCATACTGGATAAACACAAGGAGGAACAAGCTGAGACACATATTAGTCAAACTGACAAAAATTAAAGACAGACAAAATATTAAAAGCAACAAGGGAAAAGCAACAAATAACATACAAGGGAATTCCCATAAGGTTATCAGTTGATTTCTCAGCAGAAACTCTGCAGGCCAGAAGGGAGTGCCAGGATATATTTAAAGTGATGAAAGGAAAAAACTTACAACCAAGAATACTCTACCCAGCAAGGCTCTTGTTCAGATTCGATGGAGAAATCAAAAGCTTTACAGACAAGCAAAAGCTAAGAGAATCCAGCACCACCAAACCAGCTTTATAACAAATGCTAAAGGAACTTGTCTAGGTGAAAAAAAAAAGCCCACAACTAGAAACAAGAAAACTACGAATGGAAAAGCTCACTAGTAAAGGCAAACACACAGTAAAGGTAGGATACCATCCACACACAAATATATCAAAACCAGCAATTGTGAAAAGAGGAGAGTACAAATGGAGAATACTGGAAAAGCATTTGAAATTAATAGACCTGCGACTTATAGCAGTCTGTGTATATATACAAGATTGTTTTATCAAAACCTCATGGTAGGGGGACCTTGAAGATGGCGGAAGAGTAAGACGCGGAGATCACCTTCCTCCCCACAGATACACCAGAAATACATCTACACGTGGAACAACTCCTACAGAACACCTACTGAATGCTGGCAGAAGACCTCAGACCTCCCAAAAGGCAAGAAACTCCCCACGTACCTGGGTAGGGCGAAAGAAAAAAAAAAAAAACAGAGACAAAAGAATAGGGACGGCACCTGCACCAGTGGGAGGGAGCTGTGAAGGAAGAAAAGTTTCCACACACTATGAAGCCCCTTCGCGAGCGGAGACTGCGGGAGGCGGAGGGGGGAGCTTCGAAGCCGCGGAGGAGTGCACAGCAACGGGTGCGGAGGGCAAAGCGGGGAGATTCCCGCACAGAGGAACGGTGCCGACCGGCACTCACCAGCCCGAGAGGCTTGTCTGCTCACCCGCCGGGGCGGGCGGGGCTGCGAGCTGAGGCTCTGAGGCTCGGGTTTCGGTTTCGGACGGAGCGCAGGGAGAGGGTTGGCGGCTTGAACATAGCCTGAAGGGGTTAGTGCACCATGGCTGGCCCCGGGAGGGAGTCCGGGGAAAACTCTGCACCTGCCGAAGAGGCAAGAGACTTTTTCTTCCCTCTTTGTTTCCTGGTGCGCGAGGAGAGGGGTTTAAGAGCGCTGCTTAAAGGAACTCCAGAGACGGGCGCGAGCCGCGGCAAAAAGCGTGAACCCCAGAGACGGGCGTGAGCCGCGGCTAAAAGCGCGGACCCCAGGGACGGGCGGGAGACGCTAAG